TAAATCACCATGTGGTGGATCATCTCTTTTACAGTGATAAACAATCAAGCTACTACTGACCATTGCTCCACATGTGGGTTAAATTATATTAGGAAAATGGCCATTTTGCGGCAAAGGCTCAGTGACAGCTCCTCCCTACCTTTTCCACCACCCTGACCTAGCCCAACTAATGTTGTAAACACTTCCACTGTGAGCGTAGATGCAACAAATTCATTTTCAACACTGCTACAGGAAACTTGAGTGTGTGCGGTCCCTTCCACATTCTTTCTGTAACACTGCTAAAAATAGTTTGTTTCAGCTACACTATCAACAAACTTTTCTTTTCAATACAAGTTGAAAAAGACTAAGTGGGAGCCATTACTAACATTATTGTTAAAAATGGGTTAGTTTCCTGTTCATAGTTTTTGTTTCTTCAAGCAGAAAGAAATGTACAGAGGCCTTTGGTTCTCATTTCAGTGAGTGTAACTCTAACTTTCTTAGTCTCCACTGTATCAAGACAACAATATAGCAGCCAGGTTTATGGATGTACTAGCTAGCTAAATCCACATTACCAACAAAACAAATAAACCAAAACAGAATCCTCCTCAAAGACATTTCAGTTCCTAAAACATGCATGTTTAATAAAATTACCAGTGCTTTAATTTATAAGACATTCTGAATAATGCGAACAAAATATTTATGATAAACATGGAGACATGGTGGCACTCTATTTTTTTTTTATATTGGATTTGGCAAACACCAAAACCAGGTGCTGTTGTGGCTATTTAAACAACCTTTTTATGAATTTTGGATGGGAATTTTTGTTTTTAAAAGCCTCAATTCCTCAGTGGCATCTTGTTCTGTTGCCAGAATTAGGAAAATACATCACTTTTAAAACACACTAGGTTTCATATGGACACGTCATTCCTTTCATAGTCCTTTGTTAGGCTCCCATTGACTATACTGTGTCAAAATATTTCTGTATTTCTGATAACGTTTAAAGACTGTGTGTGAAACTCTGGCCACATGGAAGTCAATGGCAACACTCCCACTGACTTTAGTGGGGTTAGAATTTTACCTAAGGGTTAGCTTCTCAGCTGGTGCACATCAGAGCAACTTTGTTGACTTCAATGGAGCTGTAATAATTTACAGCATCTTGGGACCTGAACCCTCAGATTATACTGGAGGAAGTTTTCAGTATGATATGCAGGGACTTAGTCCTAAAACTTCTATTAATATTAAAAGGACACAAAATCTTCTGTATCTTTTTCTTTGTGATAATACCCTTCTGAGGTAGGAAAGTATTCAATATTTTTGCAGAGCTTTGCACATGTATTCTATGAAAGTGTTATAGTTTTAGAAAATCCCAACAACCACATCATTTGAAAGTAAATATTTTTTCTTTGTTACCCTTTTGCAAATATTAAACTTTCCCCATGTTTCTAATACAACAGAAGATAATATGGCTTTCCTGTCTATTTCCTTATTTATGTATTAGCTTCCCTGCATAATTGTGTGCAGTGATGGAAATACTGTTTAGTTGCTGCTTCAGACCCTGCAAAGGAAGCATGGCGAGTACTAAAAATTATAGCTGTAAGCCCGATAAAGGGGTTTTTGAGGGGATTGGGATTTTTTTGTTTTGTTTTTGCAACTCTTTCTTGATTTCTCAATGAAAAGGTTATACTTCACAGATTGTGAATGGGTCAAATTATGGGCCTATATAATAGTGGTTTCAAGAGCTGAGAGGCTAATTTTCCAGTGCCTGCAACTAAAATGTATAACTTAATTCTTTCTGAAAATAAGGTATTTCAAGACTAAGAAGCACCAGGAGACAAATTCTTCCTGGTGTAATTCCATGCAGATGCACCAAGGAGGATTTTTGGCTACTATATAAAAAACGATTCTTTGTCAAAATATGTAAACAGAGTGAAGAGTGTACACTGCCTTATAATCTAAATTTCTTCAAGTTCACCATCACATGAACCACACAATCAACAAAATATAAGAAAATAATGGCTACTTACAGAGGGAACCCTTTTATGCCTATTGGGCATTGTGAAACAACAGACAATGGCCTTTAGTTTTAGTAACTGGCAAAATTTTGTGACAAAGTGGCACACACTGTAAAAATCAAACTGCTGCAAGGAACCTAATCATTTGAACTGGTACTCTTTAGTGGTGCTAAGGCTTATTAGGGTGATACATGTATGATTCTTTAAGTCTACTTTTGTGAAAGATGTATTAGCAAGAACAGTTTAACATGATATAGAGGAATAGAAGTTGAATGATTGGTCTGAAAGTTTTTTAAACCAGATCAACTTCACCTCATCATCATCAATGTGTTTAAACACAAAGGTGCACTTCTTAAATAACGTGGACTTAAAAAAGGTTCCGTTTGCATGTGGTATTATAGATGTTACTACTCATGTTTTGAATATGCTTGAGTAACACCAACAGACCCCAGTTTCGAACCTGGGACCTCTAGGAGCTTAGTACATGATCCTCTACTGTATGAGCTAAAAGCCATATGGTTATTAGCTAAGGCTGCAGCGCAGACTCATTAATTTCTCTCTAAGTGGTCTCAGTGCCACTAGATGGGACAGAACACCACACCCAGAAGGTGTATGGGTTACACTTGCATATATTACAGGTGGTTATAGGCACATCAATAGATGGTTGTAAGCCACAAGTAACCTATTAACCTGTTGGATTCTATAACAATTGATTAACCATGTATCAAAGCATCTGTTAATCACCCATTAACCTTTTAAAAACTATTTATAAATGGAACCTTAAAGTGTAACCAGCATTTCTAAGCAATACCCCTTTAACAAGCTGGAATTCCTAGCATAAATATTGCAATGCCAAATCTACAAATGCTTCATGAATCCAGTGAGGTTGTGTGTATGGCTCTTATTACAGGATCAGAGCCTCAGTTAACACCCATGCTGACAAAACAGATTTACAAAGATCATAGATGGGTTAAAACTAATCTGAACCATAACAGTTAAGTCTCGATACTTTAAGATTGACCTCCATATGATCATGCGTTTTGCTTATATGACCTATAGTGAGATGATGCATCATTACTAATAAGACAACGCTTGCTATCCTAGGGTTCATATTAAGTCTGCATGAGAAATCTCTGAAAAACACCTTTAACCAACTTGTAAATTAAAAATTTACAACTACTTAAAACAGCTGACTAAACAGGGGGCCATATATCAACAGTTATGAAACATTTAAACTTCTTAAAGCAAAACAGCTCAAGAACACATAATTTTGAGATTAATTTTACAGTTAAAGGCTATGATAGAAGTATGTATGACCTACTTGAAACTTGCTGACTCATGTCCTGGTTGGGGAATGCCAGAGAGATCTGGACCCTTTGAAAGCATTCCCTCATTCTAGAGAGGTAAAAACTTAAAGCGTTGTTGCTGCTGTTACTGGTAAACAACACTCTCCTAGGGAAGAGCACGTCGTACATGGGCTCTCCACAGAGCAATGCATGAAGTTGCATTATGTTAGTGCATGGGACTGGAAGTATAAATGACCATCAACAAACTAGTGAAAATTACTAAATATGCGAAGTACAAAAACTGTATAAAACAGAGACAGATATGGGATTTTCCCATCTAATGTCTTTCGGTTTTAGTAATCATAGGTATTGCTTTTATATAGATAAAAGTGTGATTTTTCCACCTGAGCGTCTTCTTTTAAACGCCTAGTTAGTTCAAAGCTGCTGTACATGGCTTTATTTCCCTGGCAGTTACTTTTTTTAGCATCAGTTCTGTTTGGTTCTGATTATTTGAAAATGTAATGTTATTGCGCTATTTGCTAATGCCCAATAAATGTTACTAGTTATAGTTTGTTTTTAATGCATTTAGACATTTACAATAAGGTTGAATGAAGATTCATTCGTTAATTATCTTTTAGTACACTAGGAAATTTACTTTTGTAAACTCTTTAGTGCCAGAACTCATTCTACATACAGATTATCCCTTCTGAACAGCAACTAAATAAATCTATCCACAAGAGATTATGCCCCTATGGATCATCATCACATTTCGCAAAATATAGCTAAATATAAATTTAGCTAATAGTAAACAAAATAAAATACTAATCTACTACAGATTTAAGAGAGTGTGGGGTCTAATGGTTTAAATATGGGAGTAGGAATTAGGAGATCCTGAATTTGCATCCTTCTCTTGATACAGATTTCTCTTTTCATCTTGCACAAGTTACTTAACTTCTCAGCATCAGTTTTCCCAATCCGTGAAATGGATACAGTAACACTTAATTACCCAATTCATAGGGTGGTTTTGAAGCTTAATTAGTATTGATAAAGCACTGTAAAAACCATTGAAGTACTACACGTTATCTAAGTCACCTCATAAACTTTCATCTTGCTGTCAAATTCCTGCTTTCACATACTCTCTTCTGCATGGTGTTTGCTTCTCCAACATGCCTGAATATGCCTTTCCAACATACATTCACATCTATTTCAAAACACCACAAGACTTTTGTATGTATTAATTTAGGCTTTTAAACAAAGCATTAAAAAGTGTGACCAGTGACTGTAAACAGTCCTTAACAGAGCAGTCACAGAAAAATATTTTTAAAAGCCCTTTAAGGCAGGATATATAAAAATACAAGGCATGTTTTCATTTGGTTAGACTCTGGAAAAAAAGGTGCTATTGTTCTTTAAAAAAAAAAATGTAGCAACTGATCAGTAATTTTAACTGTTTAAACTGCAGACCATTTAGCACAGTATGATCTGAGATTAAACCTACATAAACCAGCACATTACTTTTTATGAACCATTCATTTATCATGCTTCAATTAAACTTAAGTGTGCTTAACTTTTTCACACACTTAGCTATATAACAGTTTGTGTTACTTTTGTACACATTTCTTATAGAATTTGTTATTTTAAGGTATTACAAGTGGACACAATGTAATGTTGCAATAGCAGGACACTCTATTCATTGTTAAGAATACTATATTCAATAAACAATAAACACATTTGTTTTGTTTTGTCTTATGTAATTACCAAAATTGATTTAAAAAAAAATGCAAGCACCACATCAAGAAAAAAATATAAGATACTACCTAAGAAATCAGTACGATAGCATCTTTCTTTGCTAGGTATGTCAATATTTTATTTTGATACTCTAAATAACTGTAAAATTTCACCATGCAACAGTATTATTTTTCTTATAAATCAGCATATCACAGGCACTTTTTTGTTATACATGTATGCAGATATTTTCTAAATATGTACTTAAAAATTTGAAAAAAATTTATAGGAGTTTGAACTACCATCTTTATATATGATAAACTAATGGAAAAAACTTGTTTACAAATAGTGTTTTCTTTAGCAGAGCTACAAGCTCCCATTTTTAGAGCTGCATTTGACATAGCTGACTGAGCATATGAAGGAAACATAGATGTCTAACATAAGCTTAATTTCTCATACAACATTCCTTGCTAAAGCGTTTGCAGAACAGAAATTTCGTTAATATTGAAGGAGCAGTTTATCTGCTTTTCTATTATCAAAGGTTATGAGCAGCTTTAGGCAGGCTAGATAGCTACTTTTGGTGTCATACCTTTGGGTATCCTGAAATTTCCTTAAAAAACTTGTGTTTCAGCATTATGTGAGTTTGTCATTAGTTTAAGAAGCTTCCAACTCCCTCCCAGCTGCAAAGCAACTCAGTTGCACACCTTGCTCTGTAAGTAGACCTGTACATCTAATATATACATTACTGCTATACTTGTTTTGAACATTATATAGGGGGTACTGTGGAGAAAACAGTATGTAAATGTAATTAAAGACGTTTCCTAATTCATTTGGATAAGAGGGCTGAATTAAGGTTGCACAAGCAACTTTAATTCTGGTATTTCTTTTTCAGTGCTTCTGTTTGCAACTTGAGAAACATTCTTCTAACACTTTTGTGTGTAATTTCCTAAATTTTTAAAAAAGCGAACTAAAAACAAGCAAAAAAATTTAACACCTTCTCCCCCTGAAATTCCATTCTTCAGCAGGGTTGGAACCTTTAGATTCACCTCATAGATCCCTGCTATTTGAGTAAATTCATTATAAAGTGAAGGAAGATTGTCAAATAAAATATAAAATGACAGAAGAGTAAGAAATAGCCTAGTTTCCCTCCAGCACAAAGTGAGAGAGAAAAACATCCTGTGTTAGATGGCAGGTGTGTAAAGAGCCCATCCTTGGAAAAAATGTAGATGCAGAGGATAAGCATAAAAACAATCAATTATTTGTTAGTTAATTGCCATGCCTGTGCAGTCTCTTTGTTATCAATCTTCTTCTTACAGGAATTTCAAGATACTGAGGTTTTTGTTTTTTTTCCAATTAATAGAATTTTAGCGTACATTTATTTTTTGAATTTTAGTAAATTGCATCCATATTGGCCGTGCTGCTGGGCAACTGGACTGCTTAAAACATCATAGCATCAAGGATAGGAATGTTGGCAGCATTTGGGGTGGGGGGAAATCGACAATGGCAGTCTTGGTACCTTAAAAGGTAAAAAAACAAAACAAAAAAAACAGTCTAGCCCACCCCATAAAATGAAAGTCACTTCTTGTGGAAGCATACTTTGTGTTTCTATATAAAGGTAAATTGAAAGCAAGTCCAGCTTATGCTTTAAAACATATGATAGCATTATCAACAGGACAGAAAGTACAATGATTGACACTTAAAAGTAAACATTTACACCTAAGAGAACTGATGTGCCCCATTGCAATATTTCATTGTAGAAAGGAAAGTATTGCAACGTATCATGATAAAGGAAAACATCTACATTTTAATGTCAATCAGTGTATATTTTAAAAATGGATGTGTTTTATATAAAAAATGTCAACTATAATTACCATATGAAATATGGTAATTGTCAGTAAATAGTATTGATGTGCACTCTCCCCTCTACAAATTTAAGAGTACTTTAATTACATTTCAATGGTCTTCCCATTGTGCAAATTTAAAGCATTCAAATTGTATATAACTCTGCTACTTGTTTGCTCACTGTTGATAGTAAATCAACATTTATCTCATTATTTGTACAGTTTACATTGGCTGCTACTAAAATTGTGTTGATTTTTAATTTTTATTATTAATGTTTAAAGCTTATCACTATTTAGCTCCAATTACCCATTTCTGGGTTTTCTAATACCTTGTACACTATATTGTGAATGCAAGAGTTACAAGCAATTTTTAAAATAATAAAACATTATTTGGTGACCAGGCCAGGTTAAATGTTATATTAATGCTTTGGAATTCTTTAGCTTTGAACTCCAAAAAGCTGTTAGACTGTACCTTTAGTGACGAGTAGACTGTACCTTTAAGTGACGATTTCCTCTTACCTCCCCAGTATAGGCCTTGTCTTCTCTACTGAAAAAGGTAACTAACACACATGAGCTATCCCAAGGTAAAAACACAGAGAAGACCAGGCACTTTATTTTTACCACAAAGTGAACTGGTGAGGTCAACCCCTTGAAGTGAGTATAAGGCAGTTTATCTTGTGATAAAACTTAAGTGCTTGGACTTCATTGCGTTTCTACTGCAGGATAGGTTGTGCATGCATGTTAGTTGCCCCTTGATGCTGCAAGACAGTGTATGAGGAGGTCCCTGATTATTTACATCAGATAATAGTTACAGTTAATGTCACAATTCAGCTTCCACCCTGAAATCCACATTTCAACTTAATTTATTACATACACCTTCCTAACCTAACACATTATCCTGGAAGGATATTACAGTTCTTAAGACTTAAACTTAGTCCTTCACTCCTATGGCTGAGTCTGGGCATGCTGCGCAAGCAAGATGCTCATTTCCTCGGGAGAAAGAAGGGACTTCCTGGCTATTTTAAGAGTGACAATAGGCATCAGTGGGAGTTACTGAACATTCTCTAGCCAGAGGGACAGGACTAGGACAAAAAGGAAAAGAAAAAGAGGGAAGTAATAAAAAATATGTGAAAAACAATCTTTGTCATGAGCTCTAAGAAGGGCTTAGAACAGGGAGGGGAATGATATAAAAACTGCATTTATGACAACATTATTTTGTTTTACATCTAACTCTAAATGCAAGTGAATATAAAGTAGCGTTAGGGAACAATGACAGTACAACATACATATACATTTAAATACAAGACAACATCCTCAAGAAGAAGCTGAGCTACACATTTTAATGAGCATCCAAGAATCTGTAACAACTGAACAGTATAAAGTAAAACAAGCAAATTCTAGTGCTTAACTGTGGGCCAGTCTTCATGTTTTCACCTTACTGGTAGAAAAAGCACTCCTTTTCTTTTATTTAGTTACCTCACGTGACTGTGAGCCAAGAGCTGGTGGAGGAAAATTGTTTTTCTCAGTTAATTTTCTCTTATTTTCTTCTAACAAAATGACCACGCTCTAAACCAAAAAAAAGCAGAAAGATTAAGGGAAAGGGAAGGGTTTTAAAAAGCAAAACCAGTAGAAACCAGGAAATCAATATGTAAAATAATTATTCATACATGTCTGTGAAAACCTCTAGCCATTTCTAGGAGACCTTTGCCATACTGAAAGACAAAACAATGGCATATTCAAAATCTTTTAAATATTTTTTAAATCTTTTTTTTTTAAATAATATAATTGTTTTTAGCTACCTCATTTTTAACAGTAGAGTCTGCTCCTTTATCCAGCAGCAACTGAATCAACTCTTCATGATTATTTAATACTGCCACCTGTAATATAATACAATACTAGAATACATAGCCTCATATTACAGTGTTGTTATCTGCCACAAGTTAGTGTATGTATGTTACATTACACAGGCCTAAGTCTTATACCGGGATCTGCTAATGTGGACTCCAGTGCCCATGCAGAGTTCCACTGGCTTCACTGAGATTCCAAATGAGAGCAGAGATCATCACTAGCTGAATCTGAGGCAGGATCTGGGTTTTAGACAGCAGAGAGGGCTCTGCAATAATATGTAGACTTACAAAGATCAAAATATCACATACACGTATTTCTAAATGTTATGAATTTAAAATGTACAGGCTACGTTCCTCTGTGATGACTGAAATGATAACATGATATAGATAGCATTTTATCATCTTTATAGAACATATGAATACAGTACTTCAGAAAGATAAATTCTGAAAGGGTGAGATAATCAGAGGACTCATCCTAATAAAAATACATTTGAGCCTCTGAAGTCTTCTCCAACTAAGTACTGTTATTTTACAAACCAAACCAAGAGTTTTTTTAATGTATTAGTAGAGGAATAGTGGTAGTTTTTTCCCTTGAATAAAAGCCCTCTGGGAGTGAATGCATAACCATTGCTATCCTACTGCACATCTGAGTTAACAAGGATTTTCTAATTGCAGTCAAATTCCTGACCTTAATTGCAAGTACACAACTAAACTGGTTATAGAAAAAGGCATACCATTAAAGGTGTTTTGCCATCTTTATCTTTCATATTCACATCTGCTCCTGCTTCAATTAAAAGAGATGCCACATCCTTATTCCCTGTTACTGCAGAAACTCTCATCAATGGTGTCCATTCTAAGACTGTATCTTTAGTATCTACCTATTGTAGAAAGGAAGACATTTCTTATACTTGAAAAAAAAAATCCCTATTTAACTAAACAAAGATTTTTCACATTGCTGAGCAATTGCCGAGTTGAACAACTCACAACCTCTCTGAGGATGCTATATTTTTATAATGTGAAATCAAATTGTGCCATAAACCTAAGGGGAACTAACTCACATATTTAAAATAAATTATATGCTGAAGAGCTTTGCTGGATCAGGGCTACAGTACTCAGTACCTTCCTTGCTGGATGAAGCCCATAGGAGTTAAGATTGTGGCCAGCCTCCCAGAGGATATTAGTAGTAGTACTTTGGGTACATATTTTAACTGGAACCCCAGAAAGTTTCTCCTGCAAGCTCCAGTGAGTGCATGCTCCTTTAAGAGGAGGCAATGTATTCCTTGCTCTGCACCCAAGTTACATGGTAACTGCTTTAAGAAAGAAGACATTGGAAGTGACTCCTGTATGTTTTCAGGCCTTTGAAGCTTGTGCATTGAGAATAAATTTCTTCCTCATCCAAAAGAATCATAACATCATTATGTATTTATTATTTATTGCAATTTAAAATAACAAAAATGCAAAGCATTAGGCACCCTAAACATATAATTAATATTACAACAAAACCTCAGCAGTATGCCAATCACTTAAATAAGACCTCTTCTACCAAGTCCCCTACAAAAAAAATCTCCTTTCTACCCCTTGATTTCAGAACCTTTGTACTACTTCTCCAGCAGTAAACCTGAATATGGCTGGATATCTGATAATTTAAGTATTCCAAGTCCATACTCTTTTATGGTGAAATAAAAAAAGATATTTTATGCCAAAGAAGAACATGGTAATAACCTAGATAAAATTATTTTAAATCTGAAAAATAGAAACATGTCATTTCTATGTCAATATTCATATTTTTCAGACTGCAATATGCAAGTTTAGGTCCTGAAAATATACAACTCATTTTCCTTTAGGTTGAAGTCATTGTGGAATGCAACAGGACCAAACTTCACTCCAAGATTTGCAGATTTTTCAGTTATCAGTAACCTCTACTACCCTACTCACTGGGCTAAGAATGCTATGCGACAATAAAGTTATAATGTGAGGTTTAATTTTGACCTATCTAGCACATAATCTCCTTCTCTCTCACTTTGCACTCTTGCAGGAGCCTCTATCAACATGACTTTTCTTAATCTGAATTTGTTTTACAGGTCATTTCTCAATTCTTTACAGTTCTTGTATTCTCAATTAGAATAACATTATACCCATCAATCTTTATCTCCATATCTTTAACTTTTCATTTAGCCTTCCTGCAGTCTTGAACCAGAGCTTTCGAGCATCTTATCAACTGCAACCACTTGATTAAATTATATCCATCAATTTGCTAATATTTGCTGAGCTGTTACTAAGCATATCCCATTTTGTTTGCTAATGCAAGTTTGTGTCTCCAGATGGTGCGAAATCAATAGTAGGCAAGACTGCCTGTCTTCAATTTCATGGTGGCTTGGGAGCAAAACAGAATGCCAGATTTTTATTAAAACTATAAAACCTTCAATTTCAGGGTCTATCTACAAAACAATTACCAAAGTATAGTAATTTAATTATAAAAAAAACAACAGAGCTAAAAGGTAGCACTTTCCCCAGCCTCCTATAGCAGATTCTCAATGTTCCTATCAGAACTCTGATGACCTGCACTTTCCCCATTTTTAATTCAGTTTCACAATTCCTAGATGTTCAGGACCTATGTCATGGTCACTATCCTTCCAGCCAAGGGCTTTCCACCCAGCAATAAGATGCACTCCTTTATCCTAAGGGGCTCAGAGATATACTTAGAGAGCACTAACATTCCCAAAGTATCACCAGGTTATCAGACAACCTCTTTATGTCCCATAAAAATGCTGTTTTCTCTTAAAAGCACACAGATAAAATGCATACCTGACAGCCATCATTAATCATCCATTCAATAACATCACAATGTCCTCCATCCACAGCCCAGTGCAAAGCTGAACAACCTCCCAGATCTCTGACTTCCCAAGAAGCTCCTTGTTCTCTGAGGTATTTAACAATATCCAGGTGACCAGCAAAACACGCTAACATTAGGCTGTAACATAAAGAGAATTATTTTGCTGGAAGAACGGGACATCATTATTTTACTTACATTGATGATGTACTTTAATTTGGGCAGCCTTTTCTCATCAACTATTAATTTCGAGCTAACAACCACCAACTTTACTGATATTTAATGTACAGCTAAGCTGTAGCTGTCCCTGGGAAAGGGTGAAAGAAAGGCACAAGACCCTTCACGTACCTTGCTGCACCCCACTTTGCCTCCAGTGCTCCAAAACAGAAGAGAACCATAATGCTAGAGCCAGCATAACCCAAACTACAGAGGAGAGAGCTACTAGTACTGAACACCATAGTGGCATCTTCCTGCATGCTCACAAGCAAGTGGAGGTCAGGGTGTAGAAATGGCCATCAATGAGTTCATCTTCAGACAGCGACACTGGAAGCATTATGCCTTCTCCAGCCCTACACAGGCATAAGAGTCTCTCAGCCTCTCTCAGGTTGGCAACCCCTTATTCAAAGTCAAAAATGTTTGAAACTCCTTTACATTTACCATAAAAGTTACAGTAAAAAAAGTATCATTAATAATCCTATTAATCTGTGTATCTTTGAGACGCTAACCGAGAATACTAGACCTTAAGACCGTAAGGGTGTACAGAAAGTGAGGGAGAAGATTTTTTCTTTGCTTTAGATAGTAATATAATTTTCAATGCCTTGTGATCACCCTGACTGCCATTCATGATCCCCACTGTGAAATTCTGATCTAGTGGATGGGAGCACTGGACTAGGAGTCATGGAATATGGCTTCTAGTCCCTGCTCTACCACTGCCCTACTGAGTGACACTGAGCAAATCACTTCACCTTTCTGTCTTGTCTATTTAGACTGTAAGCTGTTCAGGGCAGGAACAGTCTCTTCCTATATTTTACCACCACCTAGTACAATGGGGCATAGGCGCCAACTCCGTAGGTGCTCCAGGGAAAAGATGGTGGGTGCTGAGCACGCACTGGCAACCCCCCTATCAGAACTGGCCCTCCCCACAGTGCCTCCCACCCACCGGCAGACCCATGGATCAGTGCCTCCCCACCCCCCCTGCGTCTCCCACCCATCGCAAACAGCTGTTTTGCAGCATGCAGGAATCTGGGAGGGAGGTGGGGAGAAGCAAGGACGCAGCGTGCTCGGGGGAGGGAGGTGAAACCAGGTGGAAAGAGGCGGGGCAGGGGTGGAGCAGGGGTGGGAAGGGGTGGAGTGGGGGTGGGCCCTGGGATGGAGACAGGGGTCAACCCCCCCCCCCCCAGCACTTTGGAAAGTCAGCACCTGTGCAATGGGGCCCCTGATGTTGGCTGGGGCATGCAGGCGCTACTGTAATATTAACAACAATAACACTGTCAAAGTGATAAGGTGGGTGAGGTAATATCTTTTACGAATAAGATATTACCTCATCCACTTTGTCTCTCTAATACCCTGAGACTGACACAGCTACAACTACACCGCATACAATAACGCTGTCACTGAGGTGAGGCATTTCCTACACTAACACAGTTCTGGCTCTTAAAGCCTTAACTGAATCCTTAAGGTGAAATGAAAATATAAATATGTTTTTAATCAGAGTATTAAAATTAAAACAAGATTAGCCTGTAATAAATAATAATAATACTATGATGATATTTTAACTGGCCACCTGCCTAGATAATGTCTGTACAATTGTCTCATTAGTGATTAATATCTCTTTCTCACTAATCTCTTTTAAATAAAATAAATATGTAGCTATCAAACTGTACATTCAGCTAATATACTCACACTTTGTATTTCTATTATCCTTGTCTTTTCCCTCCCACAAAATTTCCCACCTGTCCTGTCTTGTCCCTATTTAGACTGTAAACTATCAAGACAAGGACTTATTTTATTTTATGAATAGCACCTGTCACAAGGGAGCTACTCAAGTATACAAAATGAAATCACACATTTAATTTTTGAGCCCTTAAATTCATTGTCAACCAAAATAAAATTGTTCTATGTTAATCTCACAAGAAACATGAAGCAGTGACCAATTATCAAAGTTTTCCCTTTACAGTACTTTTAAATTGGAAAGAATCTAATTTATATCACAATGTTGTGTATATACACTTGTTAATCTCAGATGATATCCGACAGTCTTTAGATTTTCCCAAAACCATGACCCCTGGCATCAAATGTGTGCATGGATAGAGATGGAAACACACTTTACCCATGCACAGGAAAACAAGACAAATACATTTATTTGGAGCATGTGGAATAAAGTTCATTGAATACTGATGCTCTGTGTATAAGAAAAGTATTGAGCCTGCCAGTTCATTACCAGGCAAAACACATGTATGTGTGCACGCTACAACCCCAGAAAGCCATAACTGGGCCACTGATCATCCAAGGGGGTAGGGAAACAGATTCGTGATCTAACAAAAAATAGAGAAGCAGATGGACAAATATCCTGGGACACTTGAAAAGGTTCATCACTGGGAGCATCTGTCTTTTGGATAACGTATGGAACCAGGTAACTCTACCTCTCATTGTCTGATTTACTAAGTACCAAACAGAGTAACCTAGTTATGAGTGGAGAGGACAAGCAGGATAACGGAACTGCCAGAAAGGGCTGCCTGGAGCTAAGAATGCAATGGGGAAATCAGAGTGACTACACTAGAAACTCAAGTAGCTACAAATGGACTGGGCTTCCTGAATGCTTCAGGGATGACAGCTGTAAGGGATTCCAGCAGATTGGTAGCAGTCTCATCAGAGAAGGAAGTAGGGTGACAGCTGCAAGCAAAGGGACAGGCACAGTAAAGAATATACCAGAAGGAAATCACTGGGGAAGCCAAGTTCAAAGGAAGACGTTTATGTAAAATGCCATGAGGCCAGACTAGAAGGAGCCCAGACAGCATCAAGATAGTAGCCCAGATAAAGACAAGGTCCAGAAGAAACAGAAAGACCTAGCAGGCTTACCTAGATTTTAGGAAGCACTGCCTTATGCAAATCAATTAATTGACTAATTTGCATATTTAAAATTTGCTTATTACCATAAACTTGTTTTTAAAAATTGTGTGCGAAATTAGTGATGACTAAAGGCACTGTCATGATAGTCCTGGTAAATGATACCTTCTGTTTACCTCGAGGGCAGCAGCAGCCTCCATAGCCCATGCACTTATCAGTATCTCTGTTGAGACTGCCCATTATTATACAGCGTTGTGGTGACTTTGTGATGTGGGAGCAGACACACACCAAATTTATCTCATATAGGGGCCACCAAAGAGTCACTAGATGGGATCAACTTTCAGCTGAATATGAATTTTGTATAGCGGCTCTAATATAGAACAGCATACGGTGCCTAACTACATATATATCATAGCTATCAGCCACTTATCTTACTACAGTCTGTTCTAGTGTTTATTTGAAGAGAGGGTTGTTCCTTGAAGATATATTTGTAAAGAAAAGAGACAAATAAAAATGAGTGAATTTAGAGATTAGAGCCAAGCAGTGAGAGTAAATACTGTGTAAGCTTCCTCTTCAGACCTCTGCTAATACAGCTGACTCCTGATCTACAATTCTCTTTTCTAATGAAGTCCTGTGGTCTTCCTGAACAAAGATTGCCAGTTTACTGAATTTCGTAGCAATTTTATGATGTGATCAAATGGAAACTAAGATTAAATCAATAAAACTCATTTTCAGTTGTGACCAAAACTAGAATTTGAATATCAGTTTCCAGAACTGAAAAAATAATGATGCAATAATGCATAATACCAGTTCCCCAAAACCTCTGGTGAAGCAATATATCTGTGCAGTACCTGTCCTTTCCACTTCCATTCTTCTGATTTACATCTGTTCCATTCTGTACCAATATTTTCGCAAGCCTACATAGCAATAAATATTTTCATCAAGAATAATGCCCAGTAAACTAACATTTCTCATTAAAATAGAAACTCTGAAAGAGTAAATAAAAACTTTGTTTTGCACACACAGTCTATTACTGATAGTGAATAAATAAATAAATAAATAAATAATAATCCTAAAAAGGGACTTCTTTGATTTTCAACAATAAGTACACAGAAGAATAAAATAAACACTCTGGATGAATTTTATAAATTGTCAAAGTTGCCTTTATATTACAAAAAAACAAAACATCAATAATATTCTACTTTTCCTAAACTGACCGTCTATTATTGTGCTCCAAATATATTAAACAAGTGTAAAAATCAATCCTACACAACAAAGAGGTAAAATAAAAGCAGTAATACCTATCATATCCTTTCTGAGAAGCAACCATCAGAGCAGTAAAGCCTAGTTTATCAGGAACATCCACCTTCACATGTCTTACAGAAGGAGAAAAGAAAATGTTACAAACTAGTGTATCTCAAATATTTTCAGAGACAACTATAAATCTTTCCATAACATATTTCTAAAGAGTGTCTTATAAATTCAAAGCATTGTAATCACTGATTAATTTTGCCAACAGCGTGAAAGTAAAAAACATTGATCGTTTTATCAAAAATTCTGACTACTATTCTTGCTGATTTCTATTAGTTTGTTTTTTATTGTTTTTTTCCATAGAAATTCATTTAAAAATACTTTTCAAGTTTCATTTTTCCAAGAAAAATAAGCTACTTAAAAAATTATAGCTGCCTAGGTAAAATGATATTTTTAGGGAAAAAAGAACTTCACCATCTCAGAGTTGAGGTTGGAAATATAATGGCAGTCAAAATAATAACTAGAATATTCTAATAAACATTTGAAAAAAATCAGGAAAATTGGACAGTTTCACAACAAGCTTATTCTAACCCTGTTGACTTAACTAGGATACTAATCTATTATACAAATGAAAGCAACTAGAAATTGCATGTTACTAACTGCAACTGAATGGGATGGTAACTTGCTAGTGATTAAAAGATATACAGTTTTATATAAATAATTTAATGAGTCTGTGTGCATCTCTATGATTATGTTACTCTATGACATCTGTGGTCAATTTGTGACGAACAGACAAGAGAGATGTGCCTATCATATGGGGAGGATGGATGAGGTTGATACAAAAGGTGAAGTATAATGGATTCCTTTACTCTTACTGGTCTGCTAAACTGGGATGGTATCTCTGGACATGCAAAGAGCTGTGGAGCTAAATCCTAGAATCAGAGTAGCAGCCATGTTAGTCTGTATCCACAAAAAGAAAAGAAGTACTTGTGGCACCTTAAAGACGAGCCTTTCCCTTCCTCTGTGAGATACAGTAGGTTCAGGCCACCAAATTCTGGCCTTATCTCTCAGTTTTCCCAAAAAAACTTTGCTCCTGCTGATACATCCTATACTTTCTACCCTGCACACCTGCCAAAAGTGGTACAACAGCACTTTAAACAGCTCATTACTAACACCCCCTGTCAAGGTTCCTCCCCCACTCTGAACTCTAGGGTACAGATGTGGGGACCTGCATGAAAACCTCCTAAGCTTACTTTCACCAGCTTAGGTTAAACTTCCCCAAGATGATAAAATTAATTTTATCCTTTGTCCCTGGATCTCCACTGCCACCACCAAATTCTAACTGGGTTTACTGGGAAACGTAGTTTGGACACTTCTTTCCCCCAAAATCCTCCAAACCCTTGCACCCCACTTCCTGGGGAAGGTTTGGTAAAAATCCTCACCAATTTGCATAGGTGACCACAGACCCAAACCCTTGGATCGGAGAACAATGAAAAAGCATTCAGTTTTCTTACAAGAAGACTTTTAATAGAAGTAAAGACATCACCTCTGTAAAATCAGGATGGTAGATACCTTACAGGGTAATTAGATTCAAAACATAGAGAATCCCTCTAGGCAAAACCTTAAGTTACAAAAAGGACACACAGACAGGAATAGTCATTCTATTCAACACAGTTCTTTTCTCAGCCATTTAATGAAATCATAATCTAACACATACCTAGCTAGATTACTTACTAAAGTTCTAAGACTCCATTCCTGGTCTATCCCCAGCAAAAGCAGCATACAGACAGACACAGACCCTTTGTTTCTCTCCCTCCTCCCAGCTTTTGAAAGTATCTTGTCTCCTCATTGGTCATTTTGGTCAGGTGCCAGCGGAGGTTACCTTTAGCTTCTTAACCCTTTACAGGTAAGAAGATTTTTCCTCTGGCCAGGAGGGATTTTAAAGGGGTTTACCCTCCCCTTTGTATTTATGACACCACCTAAAACAAACCAAGTTTCTCAGGCGCTAAGTAGAGAGTGATAAACACCTATGGTCCCAGCTATGCATGTGAGGAGTGCAGCCAGCAGAAAGAGTGCCCTGGCTCTGCCACATCACACCCCATGAGGGCCATTCCCTACTTACCAGGTGAGAGCCACAATCCACCATCTAGTATAGGGAGGAGGCAACAGTCTTAGTTCTATATATATAGATGGTAAGGTGAGGGTTGTGGTTACTACTGGAAATGCAAATGAGCATGAAAGTTTGTCATGGATAGGGGTAGCAGACAGAAGTTGATCTGGGTTTAAAGTTCAGATTGTCTTCAGAATCTGAATACTACAGTTCCTAGCTTTAAAATATTTAGAATATTTCACATCTAAAAGTTTTAATAATGAATTTTATATGTATTTAAAAGCTTAACTCTATCTTAACAAAAAGGTTTTGTCTAGGTATTTCCTTTTCAAATATAATATTTAGAATATTGATATGCGCCTACTTGATGTAGTTGGTTATTTTGTTTCAATTTCATAAGTTCCTTGGATCTAATTAGTTCAGCTGAAGAGCTTTCAAACTCTCACAGTAATTACTTTAAAGGGGGGGGGGGAAGACACACCCCAAAACATAACAATTTAGGTTTCAGAGAGATAGCCGTGTTAGTCTATATCAGTAAAAACAATGAGGAGTCCTTGTGGCACCTTAGAGACTAACAAATGTATTTGGGCATAAGCTTTCGTGGGATATAACCCACTTATCAGATGCATGGAGTGGAAAATACAGTAAGCAAGTATAAATATATAGCACCTGAAAAGATGGGAGTTGCCTTACCAACTGGGGGGTTAGTGTCACCCCTTCTTGTCAACTGTTGGGAATGGGCCACTTCCACCCTAATTGAATTGTCCTCATTAGCATTGACCCCTTTCCCCCTACTTGGTAAGGCAACTCCCATCTTTTTCACATACTGTATATTTATACCTGTTTCATAAACATACAGCTGAGGGTAGCATAAAATCCCTCCTTTACCTGTAAGGGGTTAAGAAACTCAAATAACATGGTTGGCACCTGACCAAAAGGACCAATAAGGGAAGAAGATCCTTTCAAATCTGTGGGGGGAGGTTTTGTTTTTCTGCTCTCTTGGTTATTCTCTCCGGGACAGAGAGAGACCAAGGCAGGAAAAACATCTCCTAAAACCCTACCTGAAATAAGCATCTAAGATTACAAATTGTAAGTAATAGCAAGGGAATGCATTAGATTATCTTTTGTTTTAGCTTGTGAATTTCCCCTGTGCTAAGAGGGAGGTTTATTCCTGTTTTTGTAACTTTGAAGTTTTAATTAGAGGGGAATCCTCTGTGTTTTAAATCTTATTATTCTGTAAAATTACCTTCAATCCTGATTTTACAGAGGTGTTTCTTTTACTTTTTTCTTTATAATAAAATTCTGCTTTTAAGAACCTGATTGGTTTTTAGTGTGCTCAGCTTGTTTACCGATTTGATTGATATATTATTCTCAAGCCTCCCTAGGAAAGGGGGTGAAGGAGCTTGGGGGGATATTTTGTGGAAACAGGAACTCCAAGGATCCTTTTCCTGAATCTTTGTCTAACTCACTTGGTGGTGCCTGCAGTACCATCCAAGAACAAGGAAGGATTTGTGCCTTGGGAAAGTTTTTAACTTAAGCTGGTAGAAATAAGTTTAGAGGGACTTTCATGCAGGTCCCCAAATCTGTACCCCAGAGTTCAGAGTGGGGAGGGAACACTGACAACCCGCTTACTGTATTTTCCACTCCATGCATCTCATGAAGTGGATTATAGCCCATGAAAGCTTATGCCCAAATAAATGTGTTAGTCTCTAAGGTGCCACAAGGACTCCTCATTGTTATAACAGTTTAGATTACTCCTGATGCCCAACTTCACCAGGCACAGATGGAATTTTTCCAAAAGCTCTAAGTTTCATATCAGTTAACCCCAAAATTTACCACCTAGCCCTTCTAAAAACATTAGTTCTCAAGGACAATATACTAAAATAAATTTAGAATTTATAGACCAACCTAATATTTGAAATATAACATTCCAAAGTAAATGAGAAAACTTTTCCAAAAGTAAAAAGAAACCTCTATTTTTTCCATATCTCATTCTTCCAATATGTCTTGTCCAATTAGCTTCAAAATTTTGGAGAAAAATATATCTTCTGGCAATGGAATATACATAATAAATTTCAGGGAAAAGATACTTTTTTCCCCAGATAGTTGACAGAGGGGAAAAGAAAAAACAAATATATAGTTTAATGCTAATTTAAAATGTATCAGTGAAGTGACCAGGGTGGCCCTCTAACACAGTAAATCTGGAGTTAGAAGAGTTTCTTCATTTCTGCTTAGCATTACAGAATATTTGGCATTGTATTCCATCTGGGCAGTATCTTGCAAATTCTTTTTCATAAAAGAATAGATAAAGATTTGAAGACAGACTATATTATGAAATAAAAATGAACTAAACAATATTTTTTCATATAAGTATAGTAATTACTTAGAACTTTACATCATATATTAGAACACAGAATTGACACACTAGATCAGATCAGTGGTCATTCTAGCCAGTATTCGGTCTGTGACAATGGCTACTATAGACATTCAAGACCTTTTAGAATACCAAAAAGATAATGGTTGGCTTATGCATAAATCATTAGAATTTATATTCTTTCCAAAATTCAGGAATTTTATTTTTGAATCTCTGGATATTCTGATTATCCATAAAGATTATCTTTTTTGAATTCTGCTAAACTCTTGGTCTCAGTGATAGCTTGGGTCAATGAGTTCCACAAGCTAACTGTGCATTATGAGAAAAGAGTATTTCCTTTCATTAGTTTTGAATGCTCTACCTCAGCGGATCTCAAACTGTGGGTTGGGACCCCAAAGTGAGTCACGACCCCATTTTAATGGGGTTGCCAGGGCTGGCGTTAGACTTGCTGTGGCCCATGGTCAAAGCCCAAGCCTCATAGCCTAGGACCAAAGCGGAAGCCCGAGGGCTTCAGCCCTGGGTAGCGGGACACAGATTACAGGCCCCCTGCCTGGATCTGAAGCCCTTGGGCTTTGGCTTTGGACCCCTCCCTGCTGGGAGACTCGGGCTTTGGCCGCCCCACCTGGGGTGGCGGGACTTGGGGGGTGAAGGTGAGCTTAGGCCTCGATCCCCCTCCTGGGGTCACGTAGTAATTTTTGTCGTCAGAAGGGGGTCATGGTGCAATGAAGTTTGAGAACCCCTGCTCTACCTTTCTGTTTCATCAGAAGTCCCCTCTTTCTTGTGTTATGAGAAGGGATGAATATAGGTGCCCATTTTCTTTATTTTGTACCCTTTTATGATATCCCCTCTGCCTTATTTGTCAACTCTGTAAAATAAACACTACCAGTTTCTTCAATTTCATTTCACATGGAAGTGTTTCCATGCTTCTGATCATTCCCATTGCCTGTATTTGGATCCCATCTATTTCTGATATACACTTTTTAAGGAAGAATGACCAAAACCAAATAGCACATTCAATTTGTAAAATTATATTACACAAAGCAAATTTGTAATTTGTCACTTTATCATAAAATGTAAAATCTAATTTTTAGGACATGGGGAAACTAGCTCATTGAAACAAAACACAATAGCATCAGGCAGTTTACATGATTTCATGTCCACTGTAATACTTTATAGATATTTTATAATCGGAATATTTTCTCACCCTCCCTGAAGAATGTTAAGAACTGCCTCTACATCATTCATACTGACAGCTCGATGAAGTTGTTCTCCACTCATCGGCTCTCCTGTAGAAAACAAAATAGGGAAGTACAGTAACTCCTCACTTAACATCCTCCCACTTAACGTTGTTTCAAAGTTACCTTGCTGCTCAATTAGGGAACAGCCTCATTTAAAGTTGTGCAATGCTCCCTTATAACGTCGTTTGGCTGCCTGCTCTGTCCACTGCTTGTAAGATTTTGTGGAAGAGCAGCAACTTTACAAGGGAGCACTGCACAAGTTCCTCTTCTCCACCTCCTCTCCCTCCCTCCCAGCGCTTCCCCCCACCACCAAACAGCTGTTTGGTGGCACTTAGGACTTTCTGGGGTGGGGGGGGGAGAAAGGAATGGGGATGCGGCGTGCTCCAGAAAGGAGGTGGAGTGGGGGTGGGAAGAGGTGGGCCTGAAGTGGAGCGGGGACAGGAAGAGGGGGGCCTGGAGCATCCCCCGGCAAAGTTGGCGCCTGTTCTTCTCCAGGTAAGCTGCCACTGCTGCTGCAAAGGTGCTTCCTAGCGTCCTTGCCTGCAGTGGGCTGTGCCTGTGTGGGGTAAGCCAGGGGCACTTCCCAACCACAGTACAGTACGGTATTGTATAGTATATAATGCCTTTTGTCTGCCCAAAAAAAATTTCCTTGGAACCTAACCCCCCCGCATTTACATTAAATCTTATGGGAAAATTGGATTAGTTTAACATCGTTTCACTTAAAGGTGCATTCTTCAGGAACATAACTACAATGTTAAGTAAGGAGTTACTGTATTTGCAAAACAGTTCAAAGATTCATTCTAGTAGTGTTGGCAAGTATTGAAATACTGCAAATAAATGATTAGCTTTCATATTTTTCAGTACCACTTTCTGGATATTTTCTAGATTACTAAATTAAACAACAGAATCTGTATCATTGTTACATAGTTTTTATTTAAGAGGTGACTCTTGAAGTGTGGTTACACTCACTGGTATCATTCTCACAATACAGTATGCTCATTACTAAATCTTTGTCTTTTTTCATTACCATTTTTAAAAATCAATTATTTTGGTGGAAGACTAATCCCTTTATATACTTCTGTACTGGAGGTGAACCTGTATCTGGGAACTATCATGTTAGAGATTAAACATGAGCAGGACCTACTGCTCAGTCAACATAGTATGGTCCCTTGAATGCTGTGGTGATTGGGAGAGATCTGGCTTCCATTTCTCTCTTCATTTTGTCTTGAAGGGCAAAACTGCTGTGTCTGACCATGACTCCCTCCTGACTAGGGTTTGGACTATGATTAGCCTACCTTTTCTCACTAAGATATTTTCCTACAGCCCTTTGCCAAAATAAAAATAAGAACCAGACACTGCCCAGAACTGGATTAACAGCTGTTCTAGATATCTTCTCTCATAACAAAAGCCAGTTGTAAAATGGTATTTCCTAAACAAATCAAATTTATTGTTCCTCGTGCCCATAAATGTTCCCAGTTTCAGTGGGCCATCTCTAAAACACATCAGTTCCTGTGGCAATTGGTAACGACCACATTTCTAGTCCATATGCCACATCTTGTGTGTTAGTCTAATGATGAACATGGGCATTAATGAACCAAAAAATAACAACCTTCTTTTGAATGCAGAATGATCTTTTTCCTATTTACAGAGAACACAGCTACAGTTGTAGTTGTTGCTATCTACCCAAGCCATATGAAAGACGATGAGTAGAACACAGCAAATAGATTTGACTGCTCAGTCTCTAGGTCCAGCACAAAGTGTTGCAGGTCTCTCTCATGAAAATTAACCCTTGAAATATCTGGTTGTGCTCTGAAAAAGTAAGGGCAAGGATGAAAAGGGCATGTAAAGCCTGTGTTGTGGAAATAAACTTCAAAAAGTGGAAGATCTTAATTTGATTATTGGATAGGCACCTGATGACAGCATGCCAAGTGAGGCAAATCCTGTTGCAAAACAAGCAACTAGTGGTTAGCCACATTGCAGTTTAAGAAGCTTCAGACTGCATATTTTCTAGAACCTGTATGCCTCTGCATTTTTGGAAACTACATGTTAAAATGCAGTATTGACTCAAAGCAAGATTAAAATTATTCTAATGAGAGAGTGTGGAAGTATTTAAAGAAAGAAAATGTGGAGGGTTCATGTGAAAATACTGCAGTTGTCATCCTTTGAGATTTTACAAGATAGCTACAGAGTTGATGACTTAACTTGCTCGTAGGAGACATTTGTTAACATTTTTCAATTGCCAGAATATGCTTATTTTATTTGCCTGAGAACAGCTTCAATAAAAATTATAGAATTTGGCATACTACTTTAAATCTTAATTCTGCAATGTTTATATTGTTTGAAGTTCTTATTAGCTAGGTATCCCAAAGATGGTACTTTTTAGGGCAGGGCATCTATATTTGAAAAGTACCACAAGTCATTCAACAAGACTCTAAAGTCAGCCATTGCATCAGGAAGACCAAACAAAAGCAAAGAGAGTGGACACTACAAAAAGGGAGTGATGCTGTTGTAGCTGCTAAAACAGTTTACCATGAAAGAAAAGGAGCCAAGGGAACAAGAGAGAAAAAGAAAAAATTAGAAAGAAAAAGGAGAAATCAAAAGAAGATAAAGATAAAGAGGAAAAGACATAATAGCATTTTGGCGAGTCAGATTTAATTCATGTATTTTACTTCCTACATTTCACTGTACTTCTTTGGAAAACACTTCACAGTTCTATTAGGGATAGAGTGTGACATTTAGCCACAACCCTGCATTATGGGTAGTGAAGAGACATACCACTCCTGTAGAGTGGCATTGTGAGGAAGAAGTTTCCCTGGTATACTTCAGATTCTCTCTCTTGGGTTCTTGGTTGGCTGCCTGAATCTCCTATTTTTCAGGCAGCTTCTTGGGAGGCCATGCAAATGTGCCTGACATCAGCTCAGAGGCTCTGTGCTCTCCACTCATCTCTCCCTGCATACCCATTGAGCAGGTGTTGAATTGCTGTTCAGCAACACAAATAAAGGCAGCTTTGCAGATGCAGCAAAAGGAGCAACAGGCTACAACCCAGACCGGGATTTAGGGAGGAAACTTTCTTAGCAGTCTGTCCCTTTCCAGCACATAACCAACAGATTGACAGAACCAGAAGAGTACCCAGATGTCACCTACTATAGGACAGGCCCAACAAAGAAAATAACAGAATGCCACTAGTCATCACCTTCAGCCCCCAACTAAAACCTCTCCAACGCATCATCAAGGATCTACAACCTATCCTGAAGGACAACCCATCACTCTCACAGATCTTGGGAGGCAGGCCTTGCTTACAGACAGCCCCCCAACCTGAAGCAAATACTCACCAGCAACCACACACCACACAACAAAAACACAAACCCAGGAACCTATCCTTGCAACAAAGCCCATTGCCAACTGTATCCACATATCTATTCAGGGGACACCATCATAGGGCCTAATCACATCAGCCACACTATCAGGGGCTCGTTCACCTGCACATCTACCAATGTGATGTATGCCATCATGTGCCAGCAATGCCCCTCTGCCATGGACATTGGCCAAACTAGACAGTCTCTATGTAAAAAAATAAATGGACACAAATCAGACGTCAGGAATTATAACATTCAAAAACCAGTCGGAGAACACTTCAATCTCTCTGGTCACTCGATTACAGACCTAAAAGTTGCAATTCTTCAACAAAAAAACTTCAAAAACAGACTCCAACGAGAGACTGCTGAATTGGAATTAATTTGCAAACTGGACACCATTAAATTAGGCTTGAATAAAGACTGGGAGTGGATGTGTCATTACACAAAGTAAAACTCTTTCCCCATGTTTATTCCCCCGCCCACCAACTGTTCCTCACATGTTCTTGTCAACTACTGGAAATGGCCCACCTTGATTATCACTACAAAAGGTTTTTTTTCTCTCCTGCTGGTAATAGCTCACCTTACCCGATCACTCTCATTACAGCGTGTATGGTAACACCCATTGTTTCACGTTCTCTGTGTATATAAAATCTCCCCACTGTATTTCCCACTGCATGCATCCGATGAAGTGAGCTGTAGCTCACGAAAGCTTATGCTCAAATAAATTTGTTAGTCTCTAAGCTATCACAAGTACTCCTTTTCTTTAAACAGTTCCTTGGGTTCCTCTAGCATTCAGGGGGGAAAAGCACTTCAGCCAGGGGAGAGAGGGGCAAAAATGCGGGGCGGGGGGACAAGCATACTCAAGAGAGGAAGGGGAAGCCTTAGAAAGGGAGGGACCTGGGAAAAGCCCAAGGGAAAAATCAAACAGAAGCGGGATAGGAACCTCAAGAAGAGAAAGATGGGAGGACATCTAAACTCAAGGGAAAGGGGAAGGCAGAGGGGAACCAGAGAGAAGAAGGGCTGGGGGAATACTTAGGGCAGGGTATGGGATATGGAAGACAGATACAGAAGGAGAGACTGGGGAAAACCTCAAGGGAATTGATGGATGACTTGGAAGAGGAGAATTGGTACAAGTTGATGGCTTGGGGAAAAACTGAAGGAGTTGACAGTGAAGGGGAACTGCACCATCCTGAAATATGCAAATTTAGGCAAAATATAATTTGCATAAAAGCTCCAAATTTCTAGACCTTCCCAGCTTTAACAGTTACTAAGAAAGGAAATGAAAGTGATGGCAGGATATTGTTGATGATGACTGATGATAAACAGACATATCCGAAACAAAAGACCCAGTAGTAATTGGGGACTTTAACTACCCACACATCTGTTGGAAAAGTAATATGGCAAAACACAAAATGTCCAGTAAGTTCTTGGACTGTATTGGGAACAACTTTTTCTTTTAGAAGGAAGTAACCAGCAGGGCAACCATTCTAGACATGATTCTAATGAACAGAAAGAAATTGGTTGCAAATCTGACGATTGAAGGCAATTTGGGTGAAAGTAATCATGAAATGATAGATTTCATGATTCTAAGGAAAGGAAGGAGTTAGAGCAGCAAAACAGGACAATGGATTTAAATAAAACAGAAAAAACAAAACACAGAGAACTGGTAGGTAAGGTCCTACAGGAAGACAA